CGTAGCTTTTCTTTTTGGAATATTAATTGGTTTTATTTTTATGAAAATATTTTCTATTTTTAAATAAAACAACTTTTATAAATGATAAATGTATTTACAAAACAATTGTTTGCTTTAAATTAGGTTGAGAGTTGTATTAATGCTTCATTACATTTTATTTATTTTAAATCAAATATAGAAACTAGTATAAATATAATAATAATTGTGGATTTATGAAAGATTAAATTCTTATTGAAATAGAATAAAAAATATCTTTTAAACAGAATTAATAAGGTTTTATAGAGATTTTTTACATTATAAAAAAGGTTTGTTAAAGAAATTAATAAGAAGGTTGAAATAATATTTGTAAAACAAGAAGAAACATTAATTAACGAAAAGAATAGAAATCGATATATAAAGGTTCAGAATGTAAAATGAAGAATATCAAAATAAGTAATAAAAAATTTATATTTAAAGCATGTTTTTTAATATAAAAATATCCTCAAAAGATACATTTATCTGTTTTGTAATTTTGAAAAGTTTTCTGGATTATTTTATATCTAAGATCAACTAATTTTATTTAATAAATTTCTATAATAAGTCCATTTATTAAAATAAGAAATGTTTTTATAGTTTCTTTTACATTCTTCTATTTTGTTTTCTAAATATTTTTTAATAAAATCTAAATTAAAACCATCATTAATTTTAGATTCAATCTCTAAACATTCTAAAAGGAATAAATCATTTCTATTATCATTTATATATTTATTATCGACATCTTTAGTTAAATATTTAGCTCTTAAATAATCGTCATTGAGAATTTTATATGCATCATTAATCTTACTAACATCAATGGTATTGGATGAAATAGGATTGTCGGGATGATTAGATTTAATTAACTTAAAATAATCCTTTTTTAATTTATATTTATCTATTTTAAACACTGGTTGATATTTAAAAACAGAAAATGGATTTTCTTTCATCATAAAAATTTTAACCCCAAAATGAAAGAAAATTTAATTAGTTTTAAAAAATTGAAAAAATCTAATAACAGAGATGAAATAAGTCTAAATGAAGAATCTAAGATAATAAAAACCAATAAATTAGAAGTAAATCACCAAACTATCAATTTGAAAATAAAAGAATACTGTGATCAATTAGAAAGTAGATATAAGAAATCCGCAGTAAAACAAGAACAATTTGAAAAGTTTAATAAGAAAGAAGAAATTAGTACGAAGAAAGAATTAAAGAGGTTATATAAGAGTAAAGAATCTAAAGTGATAGAAAATGAAAATAGTTTTTATAAATCTTTAAGCAATGAAGATAAAGAGATATTAAAAAGAGGCAGTTCAAAAGATATAGTTAATTTATTAACATTACATTTAATTAGAAACGGTGAAAAGTCATTAATATTTAAAATGTTACTATCATTTGCAGAAGACACACATAATGACATTAAGTTGTTGGTTTGTAAAAATCTATTAGGAATATTAATTGAATTTAGAACAATTAAAGACGATTATATTTTAAATAGAATAGTTACCACATTCGAAATACAAGCAAGAAGTGATTATATTAAGCAATCAATACATAACATTATTTACAAACTTATAGATAATGATATTTATGTCAATGAATTTCTTCCAATTATTGTAGATACGAATCATATAAGGGTTTTATTAAAAGATGATAAGCATACTGATGTTATTATTGATAACATGGAAGAGTGGTTTTATAAGAAAGATAGTTTTAAATGTAGAAATAACCTTTTAAAATTAATTAGAGGCATAAAATGTAAAAGATTGTTTGATTTTTATAACTTACTCAATATAGGTGATAATTATAAGAAAATAGAAAGAGAAAGTATCATTAAAAGTATTATTGATGGTTTAATTTTGAATTATCAAGAAGTTAAAGAAATTAACAAATATTTTATTAATCATATAAAAAATACTAGCAACATTGACATAAACATGATGGAACTGTTGTTTAAAATTAAAGATGAAAGTATTGAGGGCGTGTTAATGAAAATGATTCGAAAAAATTTAACGAGAAGTCAAGAACAGAAATTAATTTTAATGATATCTGATAACTTTTTTAGAAAAAGAAAAGAATTTATGCTAAAATTATTAGAACATTCTATATTTAGAAGTGAAATGTTTATTACCGCTTTGATTAAGGTATTATACTCATTTAAGATTAATTTATATGATTCATTTATTGTTTACTTCTTTAAAGATCATTATCAACTAATTGTAAGAAAAATTATTGACGAGTATGATACAGTAAAACATTTTGATTCATTTGATGATGTTGTAATTAATTTACTAGAATAAAATTTTTTATTTAAAATTTTAACAGAAAATTTAAAATGATAATGAGAGAATCTTATTTATTGAAAAATGCTGATAAGATGATTATATATGATAATGAATACCAACCAAGTGGATGTGGAACAATACCAGAAAAGAGAGATATTGAAAA